TGACAAAAATAAAGAAAGAATAATAAGACAAAATTGGATATGGTATCCAAAAAAGTCAAGTGATATAGTTCCTAATATATAAATATGGAAGTAAAAAAAATAATGATAAAAAAAGAAAAACATCTTTGTACTTGAACTGTAAACAATGCAAATTTCAATGTCAGAATAACTAATAAGTTGCAAAACTTCTAAGAAACAATGGTAATACTACATGTATAATGCAACAACAGTTTGTGCTTTTATGGTCTATGTTCATTTGGATTTGTCCTTGTAGTGTTAGGTGGTTGACAGTGACTGTGTGTGAGTATGACTCGTGAGTGTGAGTATGAATGTAAGTGTGAGTGTACACATGAGTACGTGCTTGCATGGAAGCTTAGTGTTTTACACATAATTATTCATTCACAAAATTGGTAAACATATCTTTCAAACAAATGGCAGTCTACAGCTTTGTTTTAAATAGCACATAACCAATATCTATATAATATCTTCTAGGTATGAAAGCAGATTCAAACTGCAATAATCCAATCCTATTCATAAGGTACATCCATCCTACCTCATAGGATATAATAAAGGCAAGAGGAAGTAAATATTGAACAAATATTCAATAACTGCAATTGCCATTTGGTGCCTTTCCCCAAATCTTTCCAATTCACTTTCCGATAATAAGAAAAAAATCCTTTATGTCTTCCTTTAAGTGATACTGCCAAGGTGTAACAAGTTCCTGTAGAGCATCCAATATTTAAATGCTGACAGAGAGCTTTTCAACAAGAAGATGATTATGGTCCCTCTTAGGTTCTGGCACCTACTGCTGCTTAGTTTGAGGCTAGGTTTTATTATGGTAGTTTATAAGAAAAATATCATCTTAATTTATTTTGTGCCTTAAGAGGGAGGTATCTTAGAACTTATGGATAGGGCTTGGTGTCAAAAATAAAAGAGAAAAAAAGTCATACTCACAAAACAGAATTATTTGTGCAATGCTCCCAAAGGACTCATGTGTGTGATCTTGCCTTACTCTGAGTCTTTGTTAAACATTACAATTGACTGTAATCAAATGGCTACATTATGAGGTCAATGAACAATGTATTCATATTAAATATAAATGAAAATAGAGATGAAAAAATAATTTTTCAGGAGCACTATGGAATCAAGGCAAATGCACCTCCATAACCAAAATATCTATTTTCTAACTTACACTAACTAGACTAGATGTCTTTTAAATGTAGGGAAAACTTCCTTATTTTTTATTCTCTTTGTAATCACGTAGAAAAGGTAAGCTATAAAGCAGCATGTGAAGAAGTACCAATAATATAATAAATGAAAGACACCACAGATAAATTACTTATGAAAATCATTCTGTACATGAAAGGTGACCCCTCTTGCGGCCAATTTTTTCCCTTTATATTTTTTAGAAAACTAGCTATACACTGTACATAAGCAGTTGTCTGGGTAAGCAGCACAAAGTTGCCCTTAAGCTTAAAACACAGGCTTGTAGCAGCAGCGGCAGGAGACATTTCCTTTATGCACAGACTGGCTACTGTCAACACTGGTTTACAGGGCAGCGCACCTAACAAAATTTTACTGCTTAGTGAAGTCCAGGACGAATGCATCACTTACGGCTAACAATGTCTTTCATTAGAATACAATAAATGCATTGATGTGTTTTCAATGTTGAGTCTAAATCTCAGACCAGTAATATGCATTACTTCAATTCACACTTTTTTTGTGATAGCACTAATGACCATTTCAGCTGCTTTTGCCATCTGATGCTTTTGGAGTACTAAATCCTTATACTTGCTAATAGGTTCAGCTTTCCTAAGGTGAAGCCGATGCTTACAAAAAGTGTTATATGAATATAATGTGCACTTGTTCAACACTTGGTAACACACTTCTTGAACAGAACAGAACTTCTTCAAGGCATTTCACGTTATTTTTGACAGAGCGCAAGATCTTTGAACAGACCTAACTGGCAGTCCAAACAACTCAAACTGGAGGGATCTCTGTTGCCTGTGGTGCATCTTCCATCCCTTCTGGAGGGACTCTGACTGTACCATTGCCTGTTAACGTTGCATGTCCATTGGAGGGCACTTGGCCGTTCGCACACGTACTAGGGGGTGTGCTGATGGCAGGGAGAGTTGGAGCTGAAGGCGTCTGGGGTGGAGAGGTCAGAGGGACAGGTGAGGGGGCACTGGGCATTGCAGGTGCCGCAGTCACTGTTGTGATGGGGGCATGGTGATCACAGGGTCATGGAGCCCTGCCATGTCATTGCTGCTTCCACTGTGGCTTCCTTCACTGGCTGTGTAGGATTCCATTGCCCGGTAGATGAACAGGAGGTCATCCTGTTACGGCAAAAAAAGAATGTGAAAACCTGCATGAGGTACTTTTACAAAACATATGGCACTGTGTCAAGAAACTGAAGATACTTTTATCTTTATGAGTTTGTCACTTACATTTATTACAAAACTAGAATATATGAAAGTCAGCACATGTTTATAACCATTGT